AATTATCTTGATGTTATAATTGTAGAGATCTGTAATGTGTTTCATATATGAATTTGAAACAGATTTTGTTGCAAAGCATGTGATGGATGGTGCGGTGTATAGCCAACAACTGGCTGATTCAAGTGGTGACGAGCCTGAGTATACAGATATTAAGAGAATTGGTGTGAGTTCAGGTAAACAGCAAGATAATATTTTGTACTTTACTATAATATGATTTAATGAGAATGTAAACCTTATATAACAGACGCGCCCATAACTATTAATAACTCAACAAAAGTTATATCTCCCGACATAACCACCGAGAATGGTGTCATTCATGTCATTGATAGGGCGCTATCAGACAAAATTAATATAACCGACAAATCGCAGAAATTATGTAAATATTTTTATCTAAAAATTAAAAGTTTGTTTTCAAATGAATTATTTTATCCGTTTTTATAGCGAATGAAGAGTCGGACAGAAATGCCAAACAGTCGTCGATATCTCGTTCGGCGCAGAGCTTAGGGATCAGAAGATTCACGAATTGGCTCAACAAGAGTGGACTACTGGATGAGCTCACGAGAGATGGTCGCGACTACACTGTCATTGTGCCCACAGATAGGGCTGTCGGCAAATTGCCCCTAAAAATACAGTCCATTCTAAACAGCGAGCCCTCTAGACTAACAAATCTCTTGGAATACCATATAATTCCCGGTTTTGTGGACACGAAAGGACTAAAAGACAATGAGATGTTGACCACAATTAATAGCAAACAGATTCGCTTCAATAGATTAGATAACGGAAGGGTTGAGACGCTGTCGGGGGCGCCCATTAACAGGCAATCGACTAATAAGAATCTATTGATCATAGCCGTGGACAGTGTCTTGTATCCACCGCAGGGAACGGTAGGGGATTTGATTAAAAAGTCACCGTTTCTTAAGACATTGAATGAGATCATCAAAAACGCACAAATGGAGGACGAGTTGAGGAACAGTTCAGACATTACTTTATTTGCGCCCAAAGACGAGGCCCTCAAACAACTCTCACCAGAAATACTCGAACGCCTGAAAACCGATCAAAACTATAGCAGAGGTTGGGATGAATTGCTTTCAAAATATAATTTATTAATTGATTTTTTTGGTTGTGTTTTTNGCGATATGCGCCCGAAGAAGTGGAACAGAAGCCATATTCGCCCACTTCTTGGACTCATCAGCAAAACATATCGCATACTCCGGCGCAGACTTATCCTCGACAACCAGCCAGACAACAGCTAAATTGGTGGGACTCTCGCTACGAGCCTGAAGTGTATTCAATGGCAGGATACGCACCACCATCTCCGCAACAACAGCCCAGTCCTCAGACTAGAGATCAGGACCCGAGAAGTCCTTTCCAATCGGCGCAGACCAGAGCTGATAGGCAACGGAACTACAGGCCTGGAGTCGTATACGTCGACCAAAGTGTGCCCCAGTTTTATAGACCTCCTGTGAAGGACGGTTCGGGTCGACCTTATTATCGGCCACCAAATGATACCAAATCGGGTTCATATCCACAGTCTTCCAGAGCTGGAGCGCCAAGAGCTCAGAGACCGTCGAGTGATGTGTATTCCAGACCTGAATATATTGACAGATCATACGTTCCTTCCTATGATCCTTACGGAAGACCAACGATGGTTGTGGGCGAGTATCCATATACTCATATGGATCAGCCATACTCTCCAATGGATCAGTTCAGACCTCGAGATCCATACCAAAGACCTCAACGATTTGATCCGTTTGACAGACGTAGGCCTGGTAGCGATACAAAGACCTCGTCGTCTACTTATGATAGTATTAGGAGAAGAGGTGATCAGCGGTCCGGTAGACCAGATGAGGAGAAACCGCAATCAAAACCTGATTTGAAAACTATTAGTGAAATCATTGAATCGCCAGACCTTATGGTCGGAGGAAAATTCAAAACCTTCAATACATTAAAGGAGTTGATCACCGATTCCGGGCTCTGGGAGGCGTTGAATAGACCGACAACTTTCATAACCATATTCATGCCAACAGACGACGCGTTCGCCGCCATCACCGATGGATCGGTGGAGGAAATGAAGAGAAATCCTAAACTCGTCAGAGATTTTCTGACGCAACATATACTCGGGTATAGCCTTCCGCCGCAGAATCTCAAGAATAATATGAAAGTCAAGTCGTTGAATGGCGAGATGCATATGATTAATGTGATCGATGGTGGAAAGGTATGTTTGATCTGAAATTTAATTATTTTTATTGGTTAAGTGGTAAATGAATTGCTGTTTTAATGCCCAGATTTTAGTCGATGGCAATGAAGTGATCGCCGCGACGGCCGCCAAGAATGGCAACGTCTATGTAATGGACAAAATGCTGGACAGAAGTGGTCGCAGATCCCGATCCATCGCTGATGAGCTGAGAAAGAGATCAGATTTGAGTACATTCTCGAGTTTAATGCAAAGGAGCGATCTTAATAGCAAGCTATCCAGAGGTATAAATGACTAATTAAGAGATAATTGTCTATTAAATTTGATGTCAACACCAGAATCGGGACCCTTTACTGTATTGGTACCGAATAATGAAGCCCTCAATAAAATGAATTTAAGGGAATTGATTAGAAGTCAAAAGGATTTAAATGGTTTGCATACCAATTATCTTGATGTTTTAACTGTAGAGATCTGTAATGTGTTTCATATATGAATTTGAAACAGATTTTGTTGCAAAGCATGTGATGGATGGTGCGGTGTATAGCCAACAACTGGCTGATTCAAGTGGTAACGAGCCTGAGTATACAGATATTAAGAGAATTGGCGTGAGTTCAGGTAAACAGCAAGATAATATTGTGTACTTGACTATAATGTGATTTAATGAAAATATAAACCTTATATAACAGACACGCCCATAACTATCAATAACTCAACAAAAGTCATATGAGCCTGAGTATACAGATATTAAGAGAATTGGCGTGAGTTCAGGTAAACAGCAAGATAATATTGTGTACTTGACTATAATGTGATTTAATGAAAATATAAACCTTATATAACAGACACGCCCATAAC